GGTGCTGTGGCTTCTAGGTAATAAGGCACTTTCCTGAAGGTGCCATTGAGTAATGGCTGGCTGAACCAACAGGTTCAACGTATACCAGTTTAACAGAGATAGCCGAGACTCCAAAGGCAGACTATAATGCCAGTGATAATTTCTCGTAACACATTAAATTAACGGTGACAGCAACTCCTCAGAGCCCTGGCAAACTGGAAATTGCTTGATGCAGAAGCAGTACAATGATAACACAGTTAATCTTCTGGAGGGAAATGATAGAAAAAGAAATGGCTTTTAGATTACCTGTCATTAAAGTGAAACATCTGCCTCTGCAAGTCAAGTGGAATGTCCTCACTTATGCACACGGAAACTCATTAAAGTCAGTAGGCTTGCATGGCTGTAAGCCAGAGACAAATTTCCACCATGATCTAAATGTGGGAAGCACAATGAATTAAGACTGAAAGTCAGGAAGCTGACTTCCCAGGCAATACGTCAGCTTCAAAAATGCATTTGATCAGTTGCTGAAGTTGGCTGATGTGTTTAGATTCTCTTAGTACCTGGGAACACATTAACTAACTGAAATAGGAAACATAAATGGGAGTGATACGATTTTGAAGGAAATAAAACCTTTCGAGATCACAAAAGTTCAAAGTTTATCTCTGAACTCTGAGGAAAAGCTTCCAGTTGAGTATTTCATTCCAAACAATTTGCCATCATTTCTAAGCCGTTCTTTGCCTGCTGGACTGCAGAGCATAAGGTCATGAAATTTTACTTGTGTAACTGCATTTGTGATGCAAATATTCTCACATCTGATTTTCCTTTTTTATTCTTGTAAGGAATTTTGAATACTTCATAGAGCCAAGACTCGCAGGCAATCGTTTGTGTAGAAACATTCTCAATCAAGATTTCAAAGTTTTCTTTCATTATTCACTGGTGACAATGTGCGGAAGGTAGTCTTTCTGCAATTGTTACAGCCTGACCGCTGTGTTACTAAGGTTGCAGAATACTTTAAAGGAACAAAATTCATAGGGAGCAAAGAAATATTTGGTAGTATTTGTATATAGCTCAGAGTTGAATAAACTATGGATATTCAGTCTTTCCTTGGGATGAATGTAGCTCCAAGCTGGTATCCAGTTCCGCTATTTACACAGGTTATCAGGCCGTATTCTCTTCGTGATCATGTTAGTGTTGAATCATGTAAATATACTTTAATTCTTCACAGTTATCTAATGTTTACAGCAGCATGCTATAAGAGTGTGCCTAAAGCACACTGAACAAGAGAATTTCAAGGAGCCAGTGTTACAATAGTTTCTTTTCTAAGTAACTTCAACCATGCACAGAATGAGGGATGTGTCTCAAAGCCGTTGGGAACAGCTCCACAATCTTGATGAATTCCAGCTTACCATTAAAGAAACACACAGAAATGACCACTGTGTTTCCCCTATCCAGATTCTTCAACCTGGAAGAAGTGGAAGTAATATCCTGTTAGAAAATGGCATGGATATAATGAAATAGGTGGTTCAGCTGAGTGGTTTCAGAGCCTGATATGGGTATGGCAACAGATAAGAATGAGATTTATCAGCCTGGAAGGGAGGGAGATGTTTGTTGATAAATATTGATAGATTTCTGGTGCATAACTATTGCTGGCAGGGGAGACGGGGCTGGAAGGAAAGCAGCCAAAGCTAGCTCGCTAGGAGAACAATGCCCTCGCTGCTGATTGCTGTGATAGCTTGTTTAACGTGGCAGCGGTCTGGCTAGAGCCACACTCAAGTGCAGTGATCCTGTGAAGGCATCTTAAATGGTCTTCATGGCCTCGGTAGCACTGAATGAAAGATCACAATTAGCCTGAGTTATAACCAAAGCCAGTGATGGTGAGTGTCTGTTAATGCTGGGTACTCAGAAAGGACTCCTCCCTGCAACCTGCAGCATGCTGTTTTTTTGGAAGATACCATCTTCTGGCAAAGCACAGTGTAACGGAGTGGTGGAGGTATGTGAATGTCCAGGCAGAGGGATGCTTTTGGCCATTAGGTGCATGGGCTGGGCAGTAGCTGAAATAGATGGGTCATTTAATCCTGTCTGCTCCCCGCAACTCCAGGAAATGAGTGTCAGAACGGGTTGGGGTGAGTGTGAAATTGTGCTAGGCATGCATAATGTAGTGACACTGCTAATCAAATCCCTCTCACTATGACTAATCAGAAAGATCTATTTGGTATTGCAAGGAATTAGTTGGAAGAGCAAGCACATAATGGAGAAATAAAGAACAAATCAGAAGCTTAGGCACAGGCAAAGATAAGGACTTTGATCACAGTAGTTTAGTGAGCACAGAAAGAGGACAGAGAAGGAAAAAGAAACAAATAAAAATGCTGATGAGAACAGTTAGGATCTGCAGAGAGAAGCAGCCATTAATCTAGATGATGAGGAATAGATAAGTTATGTGCCTTCCTAGTGCTTAAAGAAACAGCAGCTATAGGCACCTGAATATAAATTTTTCCTCAGCATAACTCTATAGCAATCTTGCAGGGATGCATGTGGTCCCTATTTTTAAAGAAAAATTTCTTTAGGGGCAATAAATGCACTCTATTCAGAGCAGCAAAGAAGAATACATATTACCTAACAAAACAAAAAACCCCCCAAACTTCCTAAGAAGCAGCCCAGGCTGATGCATGTTATTCCTCTCTGTCCACATGGGTAAGTGGGAGGAGAACCAGATTCATGGTCTCTCTGGTATGAAGTCATTTCACTTGAGTGCAGCTGAGCATCTTGTGTGTCTGTTCTTTGCGTGTCTAGATTTCCCTGCGTATATAACATCTTCAGCAATATTAATTGTAGCAAACGAAACTATTCATTGTCTCATAAGCATCTCAGACTAGATGTTAGGACAGTTTCTTCATCAAGAAGCTGGTCAAACACTGGAAGAGGCTTCCTAGAGGTGGTCAATGCCCCAAGCCTGTCAGTGTTTCAAAGGTAGTTAGACAATGGCCTTAATAATATGCTTTAATTTTTGGTCAGCCCTGAGGCGGTCAGGCGGTTGGAATAGATGATGATTGTACGTCCCTTCCAACCAGAACTATTCTATTCTAAAAGCCACAGATAGATCAAACTGCTAAAGAGAGAAACTATCAGCTGACCGACACTGAACGAGACCTGCAACTCAAAGAGGCGATGCTGACAGAATAGCAATGTGCAGCTGTAAAGAGATTTATTATTCCAGCCAGTCAAAAACCCAAAATAAAAATCAAGCAAAAAAAAAAAAAATATCCAAAGCCCTAAACAACTGCTTCTCAAAAATTTCAGCATGAGACACAGAGAAATTCCTGTCTGTTGATTACTATTTGAAGAAAAATCAGCAATGTTATTTCTTTAACCTTGCAAATGTAGCCAACGGTTGTTTAAGGATATAATTTCATGCTTGGAAATAAACTATCCTGTAGCATCTTTATGCCAATCAGGAGCAAAATGTACTCATCAGTGTCACTAGGAATAACCAGGGTAACTTTTCTTTGCATTTGAAAGGAAAGAAGGCCACTCTTACCTGTGTTCTTAGGGAAGAAAAAAAGGAGCACGCGGAGAAGAAAAAAAGATGCAAGGGTACAGGTGGTATCATTGTCTCTTGGGTTGATTGCACGGCTGCTGAATTAAGTTTCACTCTGGAATGTTGCCTTTCAGCAAACAATGTAACAAAAAAGAAAATGTTCCCTTTCCCTTTCATCCTAATCAAAGCGGGAGAGCAGTTCTCAGTATTGCTTTAATCTTTGTTTTCAATAGTAGTTTCTATTTTTCTCCGGTTGTATTAGCACACTCCAAAAACACCGGGATGAAGTCACTTGGAGCAGTCAAAACAAATATACCAGTCTGTTGTTTTGGGCCCCACCTCATTGTTTCCTTTCTGCACAGCATGGCATACTGCTTCCAAATGAAGCTACAGACTCCCATTGCACAGACGAAACACCAAACCACGCAGAAATGGGGTTTATCGGCACTATCTCTCTGCAGCCCCCAAGTCTAGCTGTCCTTACAGGTGTGAAGCTAGATATGTTACAGCAGGGAAAACCCTTCAGAGCACGGGAGATGTTGATTCCCACGCTCTCAGCGTCGGTGGTGAAGAATGAGTGCTGAATCGCTGAAGCCATCTTGGGTGTTGCCTCCAACCCTGACTTCCTACTTGGACATTGATCGCTTCTTGATTAGTTCATGCTCCAGTGTTGTCTTTTGTGCACAAACATCCAGGAGTGTCAAAGATGATAGGTAGTGGGCTGTTGTAGACATCCCTACTGAGAGATTATCTCAATTATCTGCACTGGGGAACTGAGACACAGGGATCTGAAAGTCCAAGGTGAAGTCTGGAGCAAGTGTGTCCCAGATAACAGGGTGTTGGTCACCTCTGTTGAGTCTCATCCTTCATGTATCTATGGTCTCTGGGACAGAAAAACAGTTTACTTGGCATTTTGACTGCTCCACTCCTCTGTATTGGTGCTGATCATTGCAAATCCACCAGATGATGCCAAGGGCAACGCCTTCCCTTTAGGAGTGGGTCATCTGGGTGGTGTAGCATGTACAGTCCTTCACAAACACATCACAAATGTTACGTGTGACTGGTCTGTAAAAATAAGGCTACTTGATTGAACAGTATGTGTTAGAGCTAATCAGATAAATAGCAAGGAAATATGTGATTATTATTCATAAACTGCAAGCTATTTGAATGTTTTCCTTCACTGTGACTGGAACCCATGTGTTCGAATTAGTTCAGTTTAGCCAGACAAAACACCTTCTTCACAAGGAGGAGTCTACATATATCCCCAATAATTTTAAAGAATACTGAATACTGTAATTTGTTTTTTTCTCATAGCTCTCTTAGTCAGATTTGTTTCACTACGTGAAAATTTCTACTTCTAACCTTGCTGTACCCTGTTTGGTGCCATTGCATATTTATCATGAGCTTCTCATCTCTTCCTTATTCTTGCAGCTTCACAAACAAACTAGAAAGCAATCAGACACTGGAAAATCCCCAAACAGATAAATTAATGTATACTACAGCTTGATGCCTCTCGCTTAAGTCTGGTTTTCAGCTTTTTAAGTTCAGTATTTTTATCAATTTTAAGACCATAGTCTGTGATTTTCCATGCCTCTTCATAATGCTGCATTTCAAAATTATATTGTGCAATCTTAAGAAATGCTTTAGTTAAAATTTCAGTGCCAGGGCCATTCATGATGCTGCGTAATGCCACAGACTCATCTAACTGCAGTGCCTCAATGTACTGCTTTACTGCTGCTTCTTCCTTGGCCGTTGACAACAGCAGGTGCCCTGTTGAGCAGTGGTCCTCAACGCGTGTTTTAAGGCTGTTATGGCCATGCTTCTGGATCACTTTCTCCATATCTTTTAAAGCTTTGTCATATTTTTTCAGGTGCATAAGGCAAGCAGCTCTCCGTCGGAGATACCTTGGATTATCTTTGCTTGCCAAGATAGCCAGGGTGTAATAACCAAGAGCCTTCTCATAGCAATGTTCTTTAATCAGCACATTTCCTTCTTGGGCTGCTACCTGTGGACAGAAAGTTCGTTAATATTAGTTATTAAAAGAGGAAAAAAAAGAGTAAAATATCTAGTCTGGACTGGTAGACATGGACACTAAGAAATTTTGGATACTTTTTCAAATGTTGAAATTGCAGCTAGTCAGAGAACATCTAATTGGCATTTTTTTTTCCTATGCAGATATAAAAGACGTGGATCAGTGGGCACTTGCTGTTATCTCAAGAGTTTCTGAGCCACTCTTTGTTTCTGCATGTTTTGCTAGAGCTTTCTCAGAACATTTTTTCTGAAGTTGTTTACATTCCTCAGGAATGATACGTGAACTGAAAACTCAGTGGACCAAACTCTAAAAGTAGACAGTGTTCCCTTCATGAAACCAAATTTCTGCCATGGTCTGCCAAACAGGTGACTGTATGGAAATTGCATCTTCCTGTCTATAGATAGTTAGCCCCCTGTATGCCCCCACAGATATTTACATGTGCTAATAATAGAGGTTCATCTCCACTGAAGTTTAACCAAGCTATAGGAAAAAATGGCCAACTGCTGGCTTTGCTAATCATTAATCTCAAGTGCAAGTGAACTATCTGCCCTTTTCTGAAGGGAAAAACAACAACAAGAAAACAGAGAAGGCAGAAAGAGCCACATAATTTTTAGGTTCATAAAGGTCAATAAAGAAAACTCCATTACAACTATTTGCCTCAAATGGATTTCTCATTATTTCCCTTTATTGGTAATAAACAAAGCTTTTAAGCTGCTGTAGCAGAGTGAATATTTAAGTTATAAATAAGGCTGGCAACAGCAGCTTAGGTCTTACAGAAGGCTGAGCCAAACAAGCTGAGACTTCAAGCGCAGGATAAATTGCATCTGCATGTGAGGAGCATCCTGAAAAGAGAAGATTTTTTTTTTCCTAGAAATTCGAAAATTCTAGATCACATTGTTCTAAATAGGAGCACAATATGGTTCCTCAAAATACCTTGCGTTTGTATAGTTAAATTGCAATTTTCAGCCTTTAAAGTGTATTTGTTGTCTCACTGGTAGAAGAAATATAATTTTTGTTGTTCTCCTGAATGACTAATCCAATGCTGAACCTGCTAGCATTCTAACCAGGTTCATTTTGGTTTTACTGCACCACATACAATATTGCCACTTATTAATGGAGCCACTACTTTGAATTCTTCACGTTTCACTCACAGTCCCCAAAGTAAGCAAGCCACAAGGTTCTAGATTTCCTGCCATCATTCCATTATGGCTTCCAGACTGAAATAATTCTGGTGCCATCTGGAAAGGGCTTGTCAGGCCGTAAGTGACTGGTGATTGGGCTGCGTTCTGGATTAAGTCTCTGTGTCTCTTTGCCTCACTGTGTGATAAAGGCCTGAAAATACACATATTTCTGCTGCAAGTTTGGTTCCAGTCCCTAGTGACTAATCTTTGTTGAAATGACCAAGGTTCAATTCCTTAAAAAGAAAATGAGTGAGGAGTTTAATGGACATAGAATTATGGCCAAGGGTTAGTCACTGAGCAGTAAATACCAGAAGATGGACTGATAAGCATTGAGCTTCGAAAGAGGGTTGGATGCTTTCAGAGCAGTTTGGAGCAAGTCTTTCCTTCCTCACCTGCAGACCCTATTTGGGGTCCACATGCCATGAAGGCTTGTGGAACAGCAACTTCTACCGTGGGCTGAGGGCCTAATTCTGACACAGAGCATATAGCTTTTGAGACCATTTCTGTAGGAGTCAGCTCTGGATATCCTATGGCATGTCAACAGCCAACGAAGGTGCAGCTCTGAGGATCTGGGCAAGGAGCTAGCAATCAGTCATGCATTTAACCTTTGACATAGGAAACTGAAGGGTTGAAGCTGCACTAGCAGCAAGCAAACTCCCTTCCTCTGACCTTTTGCAGTTTAATAAATCTTTCAGATTCCTATTCCCATGTGGCTCTCCCAGTTGTTTACAAATTTCTTAGCATGGGACCCCTTAGACTATAAATAATGGAGGAATTCTGTTGCTTTGTTTTTCATGAAAAAAAATCAGTACATCAAGGAGCTCTCCTTCCTCCACCCTTTCCTATTCAGCTTGTGTAGAATTATTTTTAGCTTTTCGGACCAGACTGCAGGATAATGATGACACGTTTCTATAACGCCTGTAATCTCCAAACACTCTAGAACAATGTGGCAGTCAGTAATGCTTTTGTGCGTGCGGTGCTGTGAGACTAAGGGCTGAGTGTAAACCACTAAACTCTTCTGTGCTGCAGTCTCCTTATTTGTGAAATGGAGGTTAACAGAAAGAACTCCCTCCTCTAGACTGAAGTTAGGAACCATGGCAAAGTAAGGCCACCATTGGGTTTTTTGGCACTAATTCTGTCTGTAAGCTTTTTTGCTTTTACTGAGATCTTCCTTTCACACACAAACTGGAATAACCTTGCAGGCAAAAGGAAGTGCTACTGGAAAATCCTTTGAGACACCAGGCAGGTGAATTAACCAGCTCCTTCCCCACCCTAGCAAAGCACATACTTATCCCCTTGTCACAAAATACATCTAAAAATGTTTTTTGTGGTTCTGGGCTAGTCAGTAATAAAAGTAGTCACACTCAGTAAATCTTTGAAGAGTAGAGAATATGGAGACTCCCAGGTGCTTGAGTCCAAATGTTTACTCAGTTGAACAACAGCACAAGATTCAAGCTTTTTTTTTAAAAAAAAATTACTCTATTTTACTTCCAACACTGGGATTGAGTTCCAGTCATGAAATCAGTCCAGCCACCCTTATTCTCTCAAGTGGCAGAGAAATCTTTCATGATAAACAAGGCACCAGTAAGGAGTTCTATTCCAGACCCTGTTCCACAGCTGCCAAAAGAAGACAGAAAAAGTGCCTCTCCCATTGTAAAGGTTTCACTAATCTCTGGCACCCGTGACTTCCTAATACATCAGTGCAGTTTAACCTGTACAAAAATTAGTTTGTGGGGTTTTTTTTTCTTCTCTACTCTCTTTTTTTTTTTTTTTTTTTTTTTTTTCTTTCTTCTTTCTCCTTACTGACAGCATAAGAAAATCCCCTCAGTGTTCTCTCGGATAAAGCATGGATGAACTTAGCTGTGAGACTTCCATACAGAACAAGAGATCTGGCAGCAAGGGAAATGCAGCTGTAAAACATATCTTAATTTACGGACACCTCCTTAGGGCCTCCATAGAAACATTCTTGATTGTACCTTTATCAGCTTTATATAATGAAAGACTGTAAATTGGCTCTAAAAGATCTAAAACTCTTCCCCATAAGACTGAACTTTTTACATTATTCAGAAGAGAGGGGCTCTTTTCTCTGTAATGGGCTATATCTAGGGACTGGTAAATTAATACTTGTTTACTTATATCCTCCCGCTGTTTTGCTAAAATACATACAAAGTACTCCTCTCAAGATGCATTAAGTATATCAGCATGTTGTTTGTTTTATAACCTGGGAGAAAGCACAACAATATAGCTTCTCACCAGGGTGCACACAATCTACAAATTGAATAAAAGGAAGCAAACTGATTCTCAGAATACGGAGCTTCTGGGTAATCAGAATTGCAGATGCTTGAGTGAATGTTAAAACTCCTCACCATCAATCTGACCTTGTCGTGTCTTATTATTGGAGGTGCTTTCTCAGAGCTGGATGCGCTTTGAGGGAGAAACTTGAAAAAAAATAATGAAAAATACATACTTGGGTGGACTACAGCAATGTGCTATTTTTATGTTAAACAGTTTTAGCTAAGAAAAACAATTCCAATTTCAGAGGCTAGTAATTTTATAAAAATATGAATATATTTAAATTCCTAAATGTTACACAAAAGAGCAAAAAGGATTGAAGCATTTAATATGACTGTATCAGAACCTTCAGTTTCATTTCATCAAGAAAATGAACAAAACATGAATTCCTCTTCCCCAGAAGCCAGCGATGAGCACCATGTAACTCATACGGAGTCAAGTACTATCATTGATCTTGTTAAATAACTAGCTGCTGCCTCTCGCATCCCCTGCATTTTAGTGTTGGAACCAAAGAGACGTTCCCCCAAGTGGTAAGAAGTGGTAATGATGTAGAGACTTCAGTAGAGACTGAAGCAACGTCACTGCAATGAAAGAAGTTTGGATTCAGCTCTCTAATCTGGCTGAAGTGAAGGTTGGAGGAAGAAGTCAATCTGTTCCACTTCTGTTCAAGACAAGGCAGGGAAAATCTTTGCAGCCTAATTTTGCTTCTCATTTCTTTCCCCAGTGAATCCACAGATGTGGCATCAAAAAAGGATTGTACCTGAGAGAGATGCTGCTGTTGCTTAGCATCTATGAAGTTCAGGAGAAACGCCAGCTCTCTTTCATCTCTCTTAGCCAGGATGCTGAATAAGTGAGCTGCCACTGGCATGTTCCTCTTCTTCAGCTGCAGCACAGCTAGTCTTGCACTAGCAAAGTCATCAAGAGAGTGGCCAAATGCCTCCTGAAGGTGATCGAGGGCCTCTTCATGCTTTCCTGTTGGTTAACACCAGTACAAACTTTAGAACCCATTCCATGTGGAGAAAAAGACATCAAGTAAACTTACTAAAGCAGGACTTAGGTAGCCTGTCCACAGTCCACATCTACGGGTATTAATTACTTCATACCCTTTCCTGAAACTTCTCTTGAAAAGTACTATACAGCAATACACTTGCCATTTACCATTCCCTTTCTTTTCATTTACTGCTCATTCACTGAGTCTGTTCAGCTGTGTAAAAGAACGGGAACTTACCATTTGCAATCAAAACATCTGTGTAGAAGATGTGATATCGTGAATCCTTGCGAATTTTAAGAAGTGCTTTTGCAATAACGAGAAGATCCCTGAGGGTTTCTTCTTTTGAGAGGTCTTTAGTAGCAACAAGCTCAGTTAAAGCAGTCTTGCCATCCTGAAGAAGCCATTGAGTGACCAACCCTTGGGCTTCACGCTTTAAAGACAGGATTGCTGGGATCACTACTCCTGCCTCCACCTTCAGTGCTGAGATCAAATCTTGCACTGCCTCCTATGTAAAAACAAGACCAAAAATTGAAATGGTAGCAATAACTACGTACTGATAATTTGTTCTTTCAGATGCTTTCAGTTCTCTGCTGTCCCACAGGTCAGCTGCACACCTTTGGAAGCTCTTTGCTCTTCCCTGACCTTGTGCTGCATCTTTTCCATTTGAAAAGCTGATACAAGAGCATAAAGACAGGTTGCAAGGTAGTGACAGTGAATAAGATCTATGATTAAGGTTTAGTCTTCCTCTCTCTAGACTCCGGAAAGCAAATCAGTAACGTCCAGTGGGCTACTTCTACACCCAGCCAAAACAAGAGCCTTCACTGATCAAATTCTGTGAGAAACTCTTTCGATTTCAGTGAGTCCACGACAAAGCCTGTGGTATGTTACACTAATATGGCTTAATATTGACAGAAAAATCACCAGCAGATCAACGGAGTGATAATACCTTCTGCTGCTTCAGAGCAAGGTAAATGAGTCCTCGTCCGCTCAGAGCATGTACATTCCTAGGGTCCTCCTTTAGGATGGCATTAAAATCAAAAATAGCAGTTTTCTTTTGACCAAGGCACCCATAACACTGAGCCCTGATGAGAAGGCAATCTTCAGCATAACCACCTGGAGGAAAGAAATGCAGCCATGTTTACTTGAAAGGTGTCACGTCTACCGCTCTAAACCAGGGTGCAGTAAATCCCAGTACGTGCAGACCACTAAGCCCCACCAAAGGGCAGACCTACATGTTGCGTTACAGTGACTGCAGGAATGAAAACTAAGTACCACTTCATTCAGAGCTGTGGGAAGGGTGGAATAAGAGGGGTGTGCTGTATGGAGGCAGCTGTGCTGCGGTAAGGAACTGCAATCCACAGACGTGACTGGAAGAAGAATAAGGAATGTGATGCACAGGATATCCAAGGACATCCATATGAAGCTATAGAAAAACAAATTTTATCCTGATCTTTACCTGCCTTTGCAACTCTGCTGTTTCAGTCTTGTCATTGGGGAAATGACAGATGAGAACTGGTTGGACATGCTTGCCCACCCACTGATCTGATTTCCCTACCAGTATCTCCCTAACCCTACCTGAAGCAATGATGGCAAAGGAAAGGTAGGCAATGGCCTCTTTGATGTCAGCATCCTCCTGTTTGTTCTTCAAGATGGTGAGTGCTCTGAAATGGCAGTGAGTTTGCATCAGCTTCCTGTCTTCATCTTTGAAAATGTCCATGATTGGCAGGAGGCAGGAGGTATCTCCAATTCTGATCACTTTCTTTAGCAGCTTAACAATGTGAGAGAAAAAGGCAGATGAGAAAGATTGCCATGAAAAGATAAATGAAGTCATGCTAAAGCTGGAAATATTAGTCTGGTGAGACAAATACGCTCATACCCAGTGCTTCCCTGTGTTTCACTGGGGCTTCAGCCAGCCACGGCCCAGCCAAGAACCATGAATCTCTTAATTCCTCAGCTGGCCCCAGTGCAAATGCACGTTGGAGAAAACATTAATTCTTATCTTTTCTCACCACCACTGCAGCTGTGGAAATCATTCTGGGGAAATACTAATGCTGCTTTGCTTACTTTGGGCAGCATCTGTTCCAGACTGGCAGTTCACTGTTTTCATAAATACAGCTGCACCACAGGATGATTGCCCCAAAGAGAGAAAGTTTCTGTGGAACAGAAGGATTCCAGTGACCCCTTTTGACTGAAAAATTGAAACCAGTGAATTAATGGAAAATCAGTGAAGTGCTGTGCCTTTCTTTTAGTATTGCTGTGGAGAATCTGGGAAAAGTATGGATTCAAATCCACAAATTACGGTCCTCCTGGACAAGAATCTTGCCTGACATATGGTACTTTTGCCTCCACTCACTAGAGTGAAAATCACCAAGCACTTTTTTTACTATATTTCCTAAGGAAAAGAATCAAAAGGTGTTTCCTCCAGTAAAGCAAATGTGCTTAGCAGGTACTCAAGATTCAAATCTGAGCCAGAGAAGTCAGGACAAGAACAAAGTTACTTTGATGCACCAGACACATCCATTGAATTTATTACTTTCTCTATTTTATTAATATATACAAGTGTCTGGTTGCTGACAGGTAGGTGGGACAAAAACATTCTGGAGATAAATTTTCAGTGACATTTATGTTCCATCTAGAACTTGTAGCAGAAGCTGCAGATAGGAATCCAAATTCCAAGGGCAACATATGGACTCTAATAAAGTCATGTCATTCATTAATAGCCTTCCAAAAGGCAGCAAATTATATAAAACTTTTATTTTCCATAGGGAGTAGTGAAGTGGTGACAATAAAACCTGTCTCTTTATGGCTAGTGGAATTTATATGGGGTTTTAAAAAATGCAATAGTTCCCTCTGATGGCAGAACCTGGTAATTCAGCTTTGGAATCCTTGGTAGGAGAATCAACAAGTTGGAAACTCTTTCATGGTTTCAAGCACAAGTCATTAGGCACTAAAGAAAGAAAACTGTAGGCTGACATTTGAGCTTCTAGTTTTGTTCCTCCTCCCTCCCCACGAAACACTTTATTAGGATAATCAGTGGTTCTGCCTTCTTTAGGGGAAAATTACCAATCCCATCAATTTTGTCACCGGGGCAGGGTACTCAGTCATGCTCTGCCTAGGTAAAGTCTCTGATGAAAAGAGCCATTAAATAGCATGTGATGAATGAGATGTATTTAGCCAGGAGTCCTTGTTGTGGCCTGTGCTACAGACAGAAAGTCATACTTAGGAGGCCTGTATTTACCGGTTGGAACACCCTCTGGCAAACCTGTGTCTCTGAAGTGGACGCCTTAAGTTCTACCCTGCATCTTCTGTATCAGCCAAAAGGGTCGTTAACCCTCTTCGCCATGCTAGCGCTCATCACTCTCTCGTTCTCTCTGCAGGTGCTCTTACCTGGTTGCCATCATACATGAAACCCTTCTTCAATTGCAGAAGCGCAAGTCTAGCCAGGATGGGAGAACTTTGCGGATTTCTGGAGAGTGCCAGTAAGAGGAGCTTGTGAGCCTCTTCTACACAGCCCATCTGGTACAGGGCATCAGCACAAAGGATCTGTGATGCTTCATCAGAACTGTCCAGCTCCACCAAGAGAGAAGCCAGCTGGTAAACCCCGGGAGCATCTCTGGAGGAAAAAAAAAAAAGAAAAAGGGAAAGATCACCTTCAAGGAAAAATGCTAATGAGAGTAACGGAGCCTCTTTGTCTCACCTGGAAGCTAAGCAGCAAATTATCAGTCCAGTATCAAAATGAATGATGCATTTTACCATAACAAGCACCACAGATATATCTGCCACTTAATTCCATAATCATAATCCCTCTTTATAAAAACACCTTCTTCATCAGTTGTGGCTCTAAAGAAAAGTTAACAGATGATTCATATCTGTGGTTGCAGCTGATACCACAATGGGAAAAGGCAAAAGTAACAGCAATAATGAGAAAAAATAAAGATTGCCATTTCTAATGAAGAGCTGTGTGTTAAAATTTGCATGGACTCGGAAGAAATGTGTTAATAGGTAGCTTCTTGTTCCAGAAGCAGTGACCTGTGTGTAAGGGGGCTTGTGTTTGTGCTGTGATCTGCCAGTGCAACACTGAATGGGTTGGCACATTTTTCTGACCTTCAGTTATACCACTGGAGCACAGGCCCCAAATTTGGGGTGCGAAACGCACACCATGCAACTGAAGAAACAGGTCATAATAGTACTAAAATTATTAAGAGACTAAATAACCGTGGGTATCAGTTGTAAAGAGCAGCTACCTGAGATGAACTTTCACATGGTATTTCACATTTTCAAGTTTTCCCCTGAAATGTTAGTATTTCACATGAGAAAAAACTGAGAAAGTAACATAAAAATCCAGTTTTGGAGAAAATGGAAGACTTTTCCTGGGGCGGTAACAGACAAAACTTTGAAAATGAAATGCTGAAACTTTCATATTTAAATAGTAGCTTGTTTTTTGTTGGAAGAAATAAAAAAAATAACAAATATACTACTTTGATGAGCAATCTTTTCTGGTCTTTAGAAAGACAATTTAAAGTATTAAAATCTTAGAGTTCCTCTGTTACACTTTGTTCTACTTTCAAACTCAGGTTTTAATGGATTTAGCTGGAATAATTTTGTGCCATTAGTACAGTTAGCACTGAAAAAATGCCTCCTGCATACCTCTTCTTCTGGAGCATTGTCTGTCCTTCTTCTTGGAGAACTTTTAGCAGCAGTCCTCTTTGGTTCCATGGCACGTAGGACTTGATTGTGAAGATGGTTTCTTCCAGCTTTAACTGGCAAGCTGTAATATAATCCAGGGCTGTCAAGTAATGGCTGCCACCAGAAATCCGAATAAGTCCCCGCCCACATAAGGCTTTAATACAGCTGTTAGGATGAGGGGAATCATGCTCAACGACCTTTTGAAAGTCCTGCAGGGCTTGCTGATGGTCATGAGCATGGAGGAAGCAGAATCCTCGCAATGCTAAGAGAGTATTCCAGTAAGTTTTCTGCTCTGCTGCCAAGAGGTGGTCACAGATATCCAGGGCAGTTCTGGTGTGTCCATGCAGGAGATGGCAGTCTGCCAGCCGAACACTGAGCTCACGTTTGGATGCTGGGGAGATCTGAAGGAGGAACTGGACTGTCTGGATGACAGAAGGGAGCAGTTCAGTACCATGATTGCCTCGGAGTTCAGTTCGAGTGCGCACAGCCTCCCTGTATGCTGCAAACTTCACCTCCAGGACAGTTCTAGCCTGTTCTTCTATCCTCTCAGTGTCATGTGGTGAGAAAAGCTCTTCAAAGTGTTTCATTGCCTGGGCAGGGGTTGCTGCAAAGGCTTCTGCTAAATCCTGCATCATTTCCTGCATCCGTCCACCCAAGAAGAAATACGCAGCAGCCCGTTCCACAAGCAGACCCAAAGCCTTCTCGTCTCTGATATTATTATCACCTGAGAAGGCCTTGAGGGCCTTGCTACAAACTGCCACACACTCCTCAAACTTGCTTTTCTTAAGGAGGTAAGCTGCCTGCGCCCTACAAACCCAGACATCGTCTGGTGCCACTGCAGACAGGAAGTCATAGCAGTTGTCCAGCCACTGGTCCAAGGAACTGCAGTCTGGGCTTTCTTTCTGATATGTTGAGAGGTAATTAGAGAAGGCCTGGATGACCTGTGGCAGATGTTCCCTTTGCCTTGTATACACATAGGCCACTGCCTCAGCCCGATGCGTCACAAAGGCTTGGATATAGTCCGCAACTCCTTTGTTAACTTGTGTCCCTGACAGCACCCATGCCAACGCCCTCAGCAGCAGCAGTTCCATTGAATGCTTTGGGTTAGCCTCGAGCAGGGTATCGCATTTACTCACCACCTCCTCTGAGCATCCTCGCTTGAGCAGGGTCTCCAGTTTATAAACTGAGGATACAACATTGTCGGGACTTAGGGTGGAGAGAAAGACAGCAGCTATTCCCACACTGAGGGAGACAACAGCCAAGTTCTTGCTCTGGATCTTGGGAATCTGGATCTTGCCTTCACACCACATCTCCAGGGTGGCTATCACTTTCTCCCAGAGCCCTTTGTCTAAGGAGTTCACCTTCTGTACTGCTGTGGGAGCACTGCAGCTGAAGGCAGCCGTGTAGAAAGCAGTGGCCATCGGTAACTCCTGCTGGGCGAGGTGGTGGTCCCCTTCTTTGCAGAGCAGCGCAGCAAGCTCCGGAGGTGACATTTTCTGCACTTGTATCTTCACCAAGCAGCATCACACGTGTAATGTGGCTAGTGCCTGTAAAACAGAAAATCAGCACCATGAGGGGTTGTGGAGCACAGGTTTTTTTGCTTGGGGGCAGCTTTCCAACTGACAGACTTACTAAGCAAGCCTGGGTGCTGGGAAAAGCCAGGGTTTTGTCATGGACAGGCTCCCTAGGGAGCAAAGCCACGAGAGGAAACACTACAGAGGGTCTCAGTTGGCAGCCACGCAGCCCTGTGTGTGCTCCCTGCCCCACTGACTGCTGGGGGCCTCCCACGCCTTGTCCTTCCATGCCTGAGGTGCCACTTTGATGAATTTTTAATCATCAGACGGTGCAGCAGTGCTGGTGGTAGACAAGGAGAATGCCCACCACTTGCCTTTCCCCCTTTCCCTTGGAGAGGCAGGAGAAGGAGAAGAAAATTTCCACCTTCGCCTTGTTTCTACCCCAGGAGCCTCCACGAAAGATG